CCAGTCTCATTATTTCTGTCTTCTGAACTGCAAGAAGGAGACTGTAGAAGGACAATGGCGTGCTTCCTTGAAGGACACTTCTTAGATGTTGCACAGACTACTTCTTGCATTTCTTGGGTCAAATGGCAGACCTGTAGCTATACCTAGCTGCAAGGAATGCTGGGAAATGTAGTTTTTCTTTCGGGAGGCCTTGGGGCTGGGTAGCTGACATTCAGAATGTTTATTTTCCGGAGAGAGGAGGAAAGAAACAGGGTGACGAGCCATACATGCCACATCCATTTCTTCTTTATTAAGTGGGTCAAGTAGCTCCTAAACAGCAATGTAACAACCAGGCCAGCTTCCATGAAACACTTCCATGAAATGGGCCAGTATGGAAAAGCCAAGCTCAAAGGGATGTAGAGTTTCATGTTTACGTTGGTTCTCCTTGACCACCAAGTCCCACGAGTGATCAATGCCAGCTGACTTTGCAGGGTGGGAAAGAGTGAATCCAGGTAGATGCTGAGGACACACTGGATCTGTGTCCCAGATGAGGAACACTGGGCTTAGGAAACACTGATCTTATATAGGGGACTTATCACAACTTCTCCACCCTCTTCTCCAAAAGAGAGGCATTATTTTTAACCTGGAATGTAAGCAATCTTTGGGGAGAGAAGGAAGACCTTAGTATCATGGAATCTCTTCAGGGATGGAGAAGTTCTCTATTATATTGGTCAGGAAACGAATCTGACCTTTGACCAAGGTTGTTTGCTGTCAAAATCCCCCCAAATTCTTGAAAAAGTAGTCCAAGAAATGTGGAAACACCAAGGAAATTGCCTCCCCACATTCACCATTTCTAAATTCTGCATAAATGCATGGACCTTGTTAAATATTTAAGGGAATATCTCTATTTTTTTGAAACCCATAGGTTTAGTTACTACTCTCATAGTATGTTAAATTCTCACACAGGTTTATAAAGGGTCAAAGTGGGGATGTTTATCTCAGCACTGTTTTCAGGTGGTAAAAAGTTAGAGCCTAGGTGTCCGTCACTGGGGAATGGAGACTTCAAATGTGATGGATACACACTGTGGAATACTCTACACTGGTGGGAAAAAAAAAAAGCAAAAAAGAAACGATGAAATCTGTCGAAGCTCTATATGCTATAATAAACCTACTCTACAACATCACTCAGGTCCATGAAAATACATCCATGCACCACAATATCCAGGCATTTAAGAAATCCAAGGCTAAACAGTAAACATATTAGGGACGTTGCCTCTGGGGGAAGGGAATGGGAGTGGGAATGAAGATAAAAGAGAATAAATAAATACAACAGGAGATTTTACGTGCCATGAGCTCATAGGTTATGATTAACGCAACCTCTTAGAGATGAAGTGAAATGAAAAGGTACCGATAACCAGCAGTGGTTGGGAAATCTTCAGCTTCCAAAGCAGTGAAGGTCAGCTTCAAGTTTACCAGGTTCACAGCCGCACCTCTTGCGACATGGCATCCACCTCGTCATGGCCATCGGCACTCCCTCGGTGCTCGGATGCTGCTTCGAGACCTACACTGTCAGTACAGTTTTCTTAGGAGCCAGCAGCACCCTCAGTAACTGCAACACATGGTATTCCATCCAAATTAAATAAAAAGAGAGTTTAAAAATCATCTACAGAATTCATGTCACAAGAATCTCATTGTAAGTGAGGTTTTATCTCAGTGTATGGATACATTTCACCTTTTTTTTCTTTACCAGAATAAAAAAATTTTGAAAGAAGCTAGTTAGTGTTTTTCTCTGAGATAGCAGACAATTAAGCAAGCTTTCCTCCCAACCCAGGTCTGGGGCATTGTTTTATGTGAGATGGGATTAAAGTTTTTATTTTTCACTGGTGTGAGGAGAAAAGAGAAATATTATTATTATTATTATTATTATTATTATTAATCCTCACCGAAAGATATGTTTTTTTAATTGATTTTAGAGAGAGAGGAAGGGGGAGAGAGAGGTCTGAGAGAGAAACACTGATCAATTGGCTGCTTCCCATACATGCTTCGAACAGGGATTGAACCCCAAACCTAGGTATGTGCCCTGACTGGGAATCAAACCTGCAACCTTTTGGTGTACAGGACAGCGCTCCGATGAACTGAGCCACCGGCCAGGGAGAGAAGTGCTATTATTTTGTCCTAAGAAAAATCACTATTTCAGAAAGAAAAGTATTTGAGAGCCAACACCTTGGAATCCGATGAAATGTAGTGTGACTTTGGACTAATTTAAACTTTCTGGGCCTCAGTTTCCTTATCTATAAAGTGGAGATGCAGAGTTCATAGGGCCGTTGAGCGGAAAAAATGAAATCATGCTTACGGAGAGCTAGGCACAGTGTCTAACACAAGTGTGCATGGAAATAAGCAGCTGATTTTGCTCGCTTGTTTATTGGATGCCTCTTATATTGCTGCTGGCCACAATCCTGTCTTCCCTTAGTGTGCCAGCAGCAGCAAGGGAAGAAATGATGTTTGTAAGGCAACGTGAGAGAGGAAACCTCCTCATTGTGTGTCTACCACACTAGAAAAAGACTGGAGTCAGAGAAAGGATACAGATTCTCCTGAGGGTGGAAGTCAAGGCCTTGCCCTTCATGGTCAACATCACTGAGCATCCAATTTACCATAAGAAACATTAATCAGACACCCAAGGACTCTTGGGCAGAAATTATACTTAATTATGTCTGTATTCTTAGCAGGCAGTAGAAAACCTGGCACATTAGAGGGGCTCAAGAAATCCTAAACAACAACCCTTAAAACCCCCGTTTTAAAGATAAGCTGAGGCATAGACTTGAACAAAGCTACACAGCTAATCAGTGGTGGAATCTGTTTGTTTAGAATCTCAAATCTGAGTTTTTTCTGATTTTGTTTTTTCAGATGTTGGTCATTCCATCAAAGAATTGTGGGAGGGGAGGGGGTGGATTTCTAGCAACCTCTATTATTGGCTTGTTTTCTGGGTCCATTACCCCCTCCCGGGTAAATATTGGGCAGCCACTCAAGGCCTTGATGCCGCTGATTTTTCACATCCTTTCTGAACCTCTGAGTTTTCGGTGTTCTTTCATATTTTGTTTTGCTCCCAGGGGCAAGGAATGCCTCATCTCAGTTTCCTGATCTGAAAAAGTGGGGCGAATGACATCTTCCTGCCCACTTGAAACAGTCCACTCTCCAACACCCGCCAGCTCACTCCTAGCCCATCCCCTTATTTTCTTTAGTAGGCTTAGCTCTGCCTAAGCTTATTTGTTTATTTTCTGCCTCCCCCTCCCCCAATGGCAGCCCAGTGGGGGAGGCAGGAGCCTCGGCTCACTGACTGTACATTCACTGCTATGCCCCCAATACCTACTGGAATACAGGTCCTCAATAATTAGTTGTGGCCACACACTATTTATTTATTTATTTTAATTGAATTATTGGGGTAACACCGGTCAATAAAGTTACCCAGGTTTCAGGTGGACAGTTCCGTAGTAATCACGTGTATATTGTGTTGTGTGTTCACCACCCCGCCTCACATCCCTTCCACCACCCTCACCTCCCCGTTCACTCTCTGCTACCTCCCCCACCCCTCGCTTTCCTCTGATGTCTGTGTCTGCGAGTCGGTTATTTTTTACTTAATCCCTTCACCTTTTCCACCCAGCTCCACAACCCCCCTTCCCTCTGACAAGCTGTCCGTCTCTTCTCTGTATCTGAGTCTGTTTCTGTTTTGTTAGACGATTTTGTTCATTGGATTCCACATGCAAGTGAAATCACATGTTACTTGTCTCTCTCCGACTGGCTTATTTCACTCAGCAGTATGGAGGGTCCTCAAAAAATTAAAAGTGGGAGCTGCCTTATGACCCAGTGATCCCGCCCCTGGGAACAGAGCTGAAGGACGCCAGACACGCGTCGGAAGGAAGCTGTCACCCCCGCGTCCCACAGCCAGGGCCGGGGGCAGCCCGCGCCCATGGGGTGAGCGGAGAAGACAGCGGCGGACGGTCACCGCGGAGCGCGACGCGGTGTCCAAGGGAGGGGATCGCACCCTTTGCGACAGCGGAGGGACCCGCGGAGCACGCTGCCAAGTGACATACTTGGAAACAATAGTATCTTCCACTTACGAAGTGTTTCCTTGTATGGCGAGAACTGCACCAAGGGTTCAATGCGCGACCTCACTGATGTCCCTC